AAAAAAATATGTATGCATATGCGATTTAAATGCACCGAAAGTGTGCAGTGAAGAAGTGTCGCTGGCCAATTTGCAGAGAAATTAGCTGAAGATCTTCATGAGCGCAGTGTTTCAACTACCATGGCGTGGATGTGGTACATAAATGAGTACATATTCAGGTCAAGTAATAGAAGTCCCTCTTAAAGTTGATGTGCTTGGACAAGCATGTGTATCAATCCAACCATAGCGAGATATAATTTTATTTAATATTTGCCATTCTTTAGATTTTCTGGTTGTAATAGAAATTTTATATTTAATTTCAAACAATAAATATAAACAATCAAAACAAACGTCAAAAAAAGAGGGTGGTGCCTACTTAATTTAGAAATCCCTCGGGTAACTTAACTCTGAGTCAGTTTTCATTGCTGCAAGACATTGTCGGGTTTAGTAATGTAAAAATTTAACTCTTAGCTACTGAACTCTGTATTTATATATTTAACTCTGGATGTTCTGCAAGTGGGCCTAAGAGAGCTCTTATTTCTTTGACTAGCTTACCCGTAAAAAAATTATGTCATATTTATTTCAGTTCAAAGCTTGAAGCCAAACGAATCTCTTTTTAATTCTCTCCGGAAGCTTTCCTTACATTTTTGTCGCAGAGTTGGTTAGCTAAAATAATTTTTTACCAAACACAAAAAAAGAAACGGATTTTTTCGAATGACTCAAAACAAGTACTGTGTAAAAACAAAGAAAATGAAAGTGAAAAAAACTAAATAGAATTCCCGATGCTTTTTCCTTGGAAAATGTCTTCTAACTAGAAGAGATTTAGCCAAAGAAAGCTTTTAAGATTTGCGCGTCTATATCAGTGACTACTATAAGAAGCTTTTCATACTGCCATCATCATCTTGGGAGAGTTTAAAGCACGTCTACACATGAGCCAACTTCAGCTTCTAAGTAAGAGTATATAATCTACACTGGAAGCTGGATGAAATTAAAATCAAACCATACATATATTTAAACGAGTGCTTAAATTCATATACGAAAACAGCAACGACGAGAGAGAGCTTTTATTAGTAGTATGTTCATAGAAAACCAAAAAAAAA